ACCTACGCTGCTCAGCACTTTCTTGAACTTGATATCACTTTATAGTGTCACCCAAATCCACAGAAGGCAGTTGGAATATGGACTTAGTAGTTAACACCTTTCTCCCATGTTTCTTTTTCAGCTATTTTTGTCAGGGAGGGTCCAGGAGCTGTGGGGGATGGCTGCCCATCCCAAGGGAAAACCAGCAGGCACAGGGCCTGTCAGCTGGAGGTGCTCTGCTCAGAGTCCTTACTCAGGCCCACACTACAATTTTTTGGTGCTGTAATGCTCACTTCCCCTCTTGTCACTGTCTGCTGTCCTCCATGGTTGTTTCCTTTCCTCCTGGTTTCCTTTTCTTTGCCATCCCCCTGCCCTTTCAGGGAAGCTCCTTGGACTTGTTAGAGTTAGGCCGATAGAGGAGACCAGTAGGAACAGACAGCATAAACAAGTGCCCAGGAAAGACAAAGAAAAGGGTAATTGTACATGACATTTCCCCATGTATTCTCCCAATCTCTGTTTTCAGCTCTGGGGCTTTCGGACTTCATACGCTTTGTCTAACAAGTAACCTTTAATGCGGCTCTGTCTTGGTTCCTCTCTGAGAAGCACCTCAGCTTTTCTCTAGCTGGATGAGAAGGGCAATGTGCTAAACAGCATCTCCTGTTCAGACAAAGGGGCAAATTCAGGAGTACAGAGAAAGCGAGGGAGCCCTGGCAGTTCTGAAGGCTGAAACAGAGCAGCTGTTTATCAGAGAGAGATGAAAACCGCTCTCGATTCTAGAAGCTGCAGAGGACCAGATATCATTATCAGTGAAATTGGGTCCACTGAAGAAGTTACCTTCCTTTACCTCACTGTTCCTAATGCAGAAAGAACAGTTCTGCAAACCAGCTTTCAGTCCCTCAGTAGCCCTAAAGCAGAGAGACGCTCCCTGGGCAGGACACCCAAGCAGAGCCAGGGAGGAGGCGGGCGGGGGCCACGCGACGTGTGCCCAGCAACCAGCTGCGCTGCTGGCTCACGTCTCCACCTGTGAATTCACACAGGCTGGCTTGTCTGAGTCCCAGAGGAACACAGGATTACGGCTCAGGAGTTGCTGTGACTGCCCGTCACACAAACAGGAGCAGGGAGTAGTTTTTAGCTCTCTGTACAACACTGCTGAGTCCACTGCTGGAACGCAGCATCCAAAACACAAGAAAAGTGAATACACAGAAGGGATTGGAAGTTATCAAGGGCCTGTCAAAATGCCCTGCAGCTACACTTACGCTTTATTCTCTTTCATTGACCATCTAGAAGACTGAGAAAAGACCCGCTTATATTTAGAGCAGTAAAGTATAAAATAAAAGCAGGTTCTTTAGACTAGCCAGAAGAGGAAGTACATTAACAAATCCCTGGAAGCTAAAGCCAATAAATGCAGACGAGAAACAAGATACAAGTTTCCCAATGATTAAGTGCTGGAAGAAATTATCAACAGAAGTACTTGATTCTCCATATAATAATATCTTCAGATCAAACCTAGACATCTTCCAGGAGTAAGTGCTTTAATGATCTACCAGTACTGCAGTGAAATGTAATAGCCTGTAATGTGAGGGATGCCAAAGAATGATCTAAGGGTTCCTCCATCTTTAAAAACTGTGATTATTAAAATAGGGAATAGTTTAAATAAAAAAGACAGCCTATCATGAGCATAAGATTCATATGATGGAGCAAGTAGAGGGATTGCATCAAAGTGATGATCTTAAAGGGCCTTTTCCAATCTAAACAATTGCATCATTTCAGGATGCTTCCCAAATTTGGCAAAAATATTATGAATTCTGATCCTTTCCCCTTAAATGCCTGGAACCTCTCCCACAGTGGTAATATTTGTATACGCAGGGGGAATACAGACCATGTCACCATCCAAATTTTTACAACTGCAAAGTTTTGTTTGGTAACTTTGACAGAGAAGCAGCGCAGACAGAGCAGAACGTAGCATGTGAAAGGGAAAGCTACAACAGGTGTCTTTGAAGGGAACAGCACAACCCCCAATTTATGCAGATGAGCAGCTTCACAGTTCAGAAACGACACTCCTCCTTTTCAACATTGTTTTCATAAAATCCACCTCTTCCATGAAGTCTGTGAACCCATGCTCCTCGAGAATGACTGATTTTTAGATAGGCTGTCTTTGCTGAACTGCAGCAATGCATTGCCTTCAGGTCACCCAGTCCAGCCCCGCCAGCTGTCAGATCACGTCTGTTAGATCTCAAGAGACATCACTTCGGACGTACCGTAAAGGGGAGCAGACACTCCTGCTGGCTCTGCACCACGAAGAGGCTCAGCAGGGGAACGCGACAGGGGCCTGCCAGGCCACACGCCAGGCAGAGCGTGTTCTCCAGGGCTTCAGCGAGCACAGAACAGGAGTTGGTCCAGGAAGGTGCTGTGACATCCACGATGAGAATCCGTGATGGCTGCTGGTGGTGGACTTTGGTAGCAGGAAATGTTCTCCGTGTTTCTGAGAGTGCTTTTCTGGAATTCATGGCTTTTGAAGATGGGTGTTAGATATTCAGTTATCCATCTGCATCTGAACAGGAAAAAAAAATAACAGCAAAGAGTGAGACTCTCCCATTCCCTTGAAAGCAACCTGAGACAGAGCAGACAGTAATGAACAGGACTACTACAGCTTTCTCCAGAGCAATCGTTGTCCAGGCTCTGAGATAAACCTACACGGAGACAAGGGAAAATGCATATGGTCAGAAAACAAAATAGTTCAGCTAAAGAAACTGCATGGCAAACACACTCTTACAGATGCAACTGAAGCACTTAAAAGTTTTAATAGTATAGCCAGGCCTAGCCCCCAGATGAGCTGCGTGACATTCTTTCCTCCTGCAGCTGTGTAACTCCCCAGCAGACTCGGAAACAGCCTGAAGCAACCCTGGTTTGACATAGCTGGGCTCTGGTCAGGACCCGGGCCCATCGGTGCATTTGTGCAGTATGTCCATCTGTAGAACAAGGAAACAAGCTACACACTTCCTACAGGCTCTAGCACTTTGGAGTAAGAATTTCTGTAAGTCTTGAAAAGAGCAAGAAATACATTTCTAGCTGCTTGAAATATCATCAGAAAGAACCTCTGTACTTCTAGGATGCTTGTTGGTGAAGAAAAACCAGAGTCATCACAGACTGAATTTCAAAACCGAGGCTCACATTTCCGAACTGGTGAAAACGTTACACACACACATGCAGAAAGTACATATGTGTAGGGATCTTGCCTTGACTAGTAACCCAATACATTTAATTGGAAAATGAGAAAATGAGAAACTCCAAGACCCGACTTTAGTCAGTGCCTCTTCTGGAGCTTTACGATTCATAGGAGAGTTTATAAATCACTGATTCTGATAAAATATTTGTCTGTCTGTCTCTGGTTTTGGGGAGAGGGCTTCCTAGTGCTGAACTCGGCAAGACTCCAGTGCTTTCTCAAACAACGAAACAAAACCCATCTGGCAGTCAGAAATCTAGAAGACTTGGGCCTTTGGTTTGCATTGGCTTCAGAGAGAAAAATAAGCCTTGATTCTGAAAACCACACAGTTTTCCTGAATTTGAAAGAACTCTCTCACACCTGATGCCGTACAGGACTACGGTAGTTTTAAACTGCTTTAGTAAAACGGATCCCTCATCAGTCACGCTCCTTACCAACAGAATGAATTCCCTTTCAGCATAATTGTGGTGCCTTAATTAATCTCAGCTTAGCAATCTTTACCCGACTTGGGTGCAATTCTCTGTGCGGCGCCTGACACAGGGTGTAACTGCCCGGCTTCTCACAGCCCACACCTGTCACACCTGGCTGGGCTCAGGCTGGGCACCGGAAGGATTCTGCCTGACAGTCGAACTGGTGGCTACGGGAAAATCACATCTTCGTGTAACAACAAGTGACCTGGCACGGAGCCTGGCCTGAGGGGTTGTGCTGTGCACAGGGCAGAGTCGGCGGCTCTGGCTGCTGGAATGGCGTTACCTTAGTGCTCGACACAACGGAATTAGCAGCTGTCAGAGGGAGCTGCATGTAGGGATGTACATTTTGCTCAATGCAAGAAGTCATGTTTTCCAGAACTAGAATGACAGCGACAGATAGAAAATTTCACCCTATTGACTTGTGAGTGCTGATGACATTCTGCACCTGCACATTATCCTGGGTGTTTAATTTGTTCCAGTTACACAAAGCCATTAAATAATACCCAAGTCTAAAAAAGTAAATGAGAGACAACACCAAAGCACTAGTTAAAGGATACTAAGGATAGTCTCCATCTTCTTTCAAGTACAAGAACCAGCAAAACTTTGATCCAACTTCACTCTAAGCAGGAAGAAAAAATCCACAAAAATGTGAATAATGAGCTTAAGTTTAAGCTAAGCCCTACAGATAACTACCCTGACTCTGGCCTGTTTACAGAGAAGTAGAGAGTAAACCCAAGAAAACCCTGAGCTGCGATAACGAATACAAGCTCTTGGCAAGGAAATGCACGCGGAACGGTGAACAAAAGGAACTGACTAACAGTAACAGTCAAAAGGTTTAAGGAGAGCAAAAGCTTATTCTGGAAATTATTAAAGAATAAAAGCTACTCTTAAACACTTGAGGAACAAAAGACAATCTGAAAATGGAATAAACCTGCTATTAGTTTATAAGGATATGATTTTCTTTAATCATGCAGAAAAAGTATTCAGAAAATATTCTGATCTGCACTTAGGAAAAAAAGCATTGACAGCTACTTATTCTCTTTTCTGCTGTCGGGTAGAGAGAACACTAACCTGCAGCTGCTAGGACTGTGAGTTTTAATTTCAGAAAGGTGATCTTTGTGCCCAGGAACATTTTGAGCCGTTTATCTGTGCAAGTTCCAGAGAAGCGGAATGTTCTTGTTTAAACAAAGCGCACGCAAAACGACTGAGATGGCAAGAGCCGGTTTGTCATCACCTACACACCAGGCAAATTCATCGAAACAGGGACATGATGCAGCCAATAACACACAGCAACAGTTGTGTAATTATGCAAAATAAGTCTCCTTAATCAATAGATTTTAGTAGGATTACATACAGGCCTAGGTGGCCAAGACAGGAGTGTCACAGAGCATAATTTGCCTCTAGGAAGCATTCAGTTTAAACACACTTTCTTTTAATCACCGTATCACTACAAAAAGCAATGAATCCCTTCAATGAATAGATTGCGAGCTTATTAATGGAGAAATTACAGATACTATAAATAAGGACTACTCAGCACAATACTTCCACTGCAGTTACACAGCAATCTCTTTTTTACTTCATTAGGCAGAACCAGCTGATACACAAAAAATTGACCTCAGTAAATTTATAGAAGACACGAATGCTGACATTGCAAAGAGGTTATTTATAAGGGCTTAGCATGGCTGCTTATCGAATTGGGCTCATTTGCATACGACGCATTTTACTACACTCAGATGCAATTAGCAGAGGTAGTGGAAGGTATGAGCTGATGTCACCTCCAGCTCGAGAAGTCCCCAGGCCCCAAACAGCTGGAGGCAGGGAGCGATCTGCAGCAGCCTCACTGCTGTCCCCTGCTCCTCCCAAAGCACCTGCTGTGAGCCAGGAGTTCACAGAGGAGATGGGTCTTGGGTCTTACCCTGAGTCACTGACTTCCTGCCTTTATTATCTGGAGTTCAAACCAGCTGGATAGAAAACGTGATGCTTTCTGATTGAGCTTTAAGATCCTTGGCAACATGAATATTCTCATGAGGAAAATGGATTGAGCCGCATAAATAAATAGGTTTACTAGAGAAAAAAACCAGCAAGTCATGGAGACGCCTGAGTCGTGAAGCAGCTACGCAATCGGGATGGCCTCTGGCAGGTATCTTTTTGTCTACCTAGTCTAGAAAGGGAGACATTAATTTAAAAAGGCCAGGAGAGCAGAAGAATAAAAACAAACAAACAAAGTTAGCAAAAAATCAAGCTGCTGAAAACAAAATTATTCAGGATGCTATATAACAGAAGATACTACATGCTTTTCTATACACTGGTGCTATAACCAATAAGTAAGTGGCTTTAGGCTTGTGCTTTTACTGACATAAAAGCTCCAAATATTAATAAGCATAGCCACTTTATCACAGGGCTAACTTGGGTTTTTTTCTTAAAAGAAGAGGTATTATAACACTCTTAGAGTTCAGCAAATGGCGTTTTGTCATTTTGGTTCCCTAAAAGCGATGAACGCTCATCAGCCGGCATGCGGACAGACAGAGCAAAGCAAGGCCGAGGAGATGCACAATGCATCAGCCCCAGCGCCCCGACAGAGCGCCCGGCCAACTCCTAAACCCTCAGGTATGCTCCGAGGAAATCTGTGTCATCAGGAGAGACTTCTGTTCGAGGGATGTGCTCCAACTCTCAGAATTAAAACTTCCGAGGTATTGCAATATCTTTTTGATGAGATTTTATGTATGATTAATGAAGCCTCACAGGGCATTTATTCTATCTCATCTGTCATCTTGATTAAGAAACTAGAATGATATCAAGTCAACATACACATTAAATGGATAAAATCCTGCATAATTCATAAGCCTTGAAACAGAACTGCAGAGAGGCGATCGTCACCGAGGGTGCTTTAGTAAACGTACATGAAATGGTGAGATACAGGCATGTATGGAAGCAGACTAGAATTGTCCTCCAGATCAGTGCCTCCCAGACAGACAGACAGGAGCCCTTTTCTTCCTTTCTCCTGCTCCCTGACACGAGGCATCTTCAGTCCTTCTCAACACAACGAAACAGAATGGAGCAGGAGGGGACTGGTATTTCCCTTCCGGCACACCTACAAATACCCTTTAACCTGATGCTCAGGGTAATTTTCTGAGAAGTAGGGTATCTTATGTGAACTCTTCACCTTAAGAACAGCATTGAGTCCACACCTTGCACATTCCGCATGTCTTTTCTAGCCATTAATCCAGCGTACAGAACTATTAGTGACAATAATTCCCTCAAAGTGAAAAAGGTTTTTCTAATGTTTTTGTGGAACCTCCTGTGCTACAGCTTGCACCCGTTGTCCCTTGTCTTGCCACTCGACATCCCTGAGAAAAGCCCGGCTCTGTCCTCCTGACACTCCCTCTTTCCATATTTATAACCATGAACAAGGTCACCCCTCGGCCTCCTCTTCTCCAAGCTGAAGAGACCCAGCTCCTTCAGCCTTTCCTCATAAAGGAGATGTCCCACCCCCTCCATCATCTCTGTGACTCTGCTCTGGATTTTTTCTAGCAGTTCTCTGTTCTTCTGGAACTCAGGGGACCAGAACTGGACACAAGATTCCAGATGTGGACTCACCAGGGTGGAGGAGCACAGGCCAGCCTGTGGTGCAGACCGATGCGGCCTCCCCGCACAGTAACACAGAATGCCCAGCAGGAGTTAATGTTGCTTCACAGCAAAACTTAGAACTGCATTACAACGGAAATCTGCAGTCTGGCAGGGGATAATGTGGAGGGCAGCCAATGCCCTGCTCTCGTCTCTCCCTCTTCAAAACACTTTTCCTTGGTGCAAGAAA